AAATACTGTGTCCCAATCATGGGAAAGCTGACCAATACAATTGGGATCATGAATTCCCTCTATTAAATTCTAAATGCTGAACTGGCCTATTTTCCTAATGGGATCCATTGCATGAATGACACGTTGACTCATTTTATCTCCCTACACAGCGATGAGGCAGGTACCAATATTATTTTCTTTCTTTCTTTTTTTTCTTGTTTTTGTTTTTGGCGGAACTGGTGATTGAACTCAGGTCCTTGTGCTTGCCAGGGAAGCGCTTATTCCACTGAGCCATCTTCCCAGCCCATTATTTTCATTTTTTAAACAAGGAAAACTTGGGGAAGTTAGGGGACTTGGCCATTGTCACTCAGCCTACAAGTGACATTAGTTGGGTTCGTTGAAACTCTTTTGTCTCTTAGAAACACCACACTATAGTAACCTGGCTGTCCTAATAATACCTTTATTTATTTATTGCAATACCAGGGATCAAACTTGGGACCTTGTGCTTGCCAGGCAGGCGCTTATGCCACTGTGCTATCTCCCTGGCCCCTAATAATACATTTGGTATAGTGTCTTTTTTTGTTTTGGTCTCAAGATATAATACATACATATGTATTTTTTTTCTGTATTTTAGGGAAGGGTCTACAGGGTGTTCAGGGTTTCACTAGTAGATTGCACTCATAGTGCTTCTCCTGTTTATAGCCTCCTAAGTGCTGGGATTACAGGTGCACACCACTACACCCAGTCTCTATTGCCATCTCAGTCTGCCCCGGGGGCAGGGTTGGCCCAGCAGCCCCGGGGATCAAACCCCTGGCCCCTGCCCCTGCTTGTAGGCTCTTTAATCTTCTGAGCTATTTGGCTGACCCTGTACATATGTACTTTTTGACTAACTGTATATTTGAATGAATAAGTGAAGTTCAATTGCATCTTCTTAAATAAAGCCACAATGACTAGAAGAGACTTTTCCCTAAGCATCCTGGTCAGCATTCTTCTTTATTGGCTACCTCCCTGCCAAAAGCTTATCTAAAGAACTAATAAGTTTCCCAGATCCCATTAGTGTGTAGTTTTGTATCAGAACATCAGGGTTAATGTTGCAAGGATGGCAATTAAAGTTAAGTCATGATTGCAGAGTTACTGGAGTGTTTGTGTGCATGTGTGTGAAGGTAGAAGAGGAGTGACAGAACCATCTTCACGGTGGTGATGAATTGAAAACCTGTGGCTCAGGAAATATTACATTAACACTCATGCCCAGTGTGGATATGTCTTTTGAGTGCTGTCGGATTGCATTTAGCAAAAACTAATCAATCTTGTGATCATAAATTGTCAGTTATTGTAGAAGTAATCAATCAAAAAGGAAAAATTCAAGTATCAAAATTCCTCATTGGGAACTAGGCTTAAGTCTTTAAACTCATGGACTGATAGGGCCACCTGGTGTGCAGTTGCATAAACTACATTCATTAAAAAGATCTTACTAATAGTCATTCTGGTTCAATTGTCTTTACCAAAAAAATCATTCCTTGAGGCTTTCTTCTGGTTGTATTTTGAGGACTTCAGTTTATTCCAAAACATAAGATTCCTCAAATGCATTATAATCATTCTAACCAACAGAACTTGAAGGCTGACAGATTTTTATAAAAGCAAAGTCAAAGCCATTATTAGCAAGCTAAAGTCAAGGGGACCGGAAATCATAAGCAAACAGAAGAAGCTAGTGAAGAGAGATCAAAAAATGTAGTCCGTGGGTTGGGGTAGGGTGGAACATCAGACAAGAGAACATGGTATTACAAGAAGGGGAATGAGGTAGGCCTGGTCTTGGGCTTCCTTTAATGTAACCCCAAATAACATTTTAGTTCACTTCATGTATGTTCTAATCATAAACTCTATTCTTGAATCAGTCTCTTCTTACAACTGTATGACTGAAACAGTATTTTTAAATAAAGCCATGCTATACTTTGGATCAAAAATGTTCCCCTAATGAGTGTTTTGGTAGGGCTTTGAGGAGGTGAGGGATTGTTGGGACACTAACCCCAACAAAGGAGGAATCCACTGGCGAGTTTTTAGCTGAATGTGCTTTAGGAGAAGGGGCTTGCTCGGAGGAGTAGGTCACCAAGGGTATGATCTGGCTGCAAATGTTCCTGCTTTGGCCCATTTCTTTGGCTCACCCACTGCTCCCTGCTTCTGCCCACCATGAGGTAATATAATCGCTTTCCTCTGCCAAGCCCCTCTCCCACGATGTTACTTCCTTCAAGCCAGCTGACAGTGGACTGGCACCTCTGAAACTGAGCCAGCAGATACCTCTTCTCCTCTAAGTTGGGTATCCTGAGGATTTTGTCCCAGCAACAGAAAGTAGACTAAGACAATCACTCCTAAAATCCAAATGCCTGTGTGTTTTACTTCCTTAATTTTCCTATAGAGTCTAACAAATAAGATGTGGGAAGACGAGGAGTAAGATGAGATTGGGTGTCCCGACCCGCCAGCCAGGCTTCTGCCAGTTCACAGCTCTGACTTGCAGAGGGCCTGCGGATCTGAGCACAGATGCACAGAGCCGAAGCTGCAGCATTCTGAAGCCCCCTGCAGCCACCAGGGGCCGAGCGCTACTCCTACTAGAAAAGGGATCTACAGTGGTTTAAATACATTTTAGCACAACTCACTTGCTCCATAAGTTAGTACTTTCCTGGTTTCCCATCACTATAGATCTCTAGTTCTCAGCTGAGCCTCAAATTGGCAACTTTTGCAAATGCTTTCCAGTTGTTACAACTGGGAGAAGCGGATGTTACTGGCACCTAGTGGTTAAGGGGAGACGATGCTGCTTAAAATGCTGTAGCGCACAGAAAGCTCCCAAAGAATGCCAGCAGGGTTGAGAACTCCGGCATCCATGACAGAAGAAGACGTAGGAGGAATTATTATGGCAGAAGGTTGCCTCAGAAGTTTAGAATTCTATTAGTTTGAGGGCATCATAGCATATGGCTCTTGGTGGCTTAATGCCCCGTGACAAGCAACAAGTGGCAGGAGAGGCTCCGAGCAGGGTGGCCCTAGGTCAGTTAAGGAGTCATGACTTGAACTGAGGCTACTGATTATCAGAGAAAGGGAGGCCTGTTACTCTAGCTAGATGAGAGGCAAGGGAGCCACACAGAGGTGAGAAGAGGAGCAGCCGATTCATGGTGGAAGGCACAAGGGTTTCTGATAAGAACATTTGATCAGATTTGATAAAAAAAGTTGGGTCACAGTAAGTTGGAGATGGGATAGCTGATCTGTTAAAACTATGTGGTGCTTTCACTAACTTAGCTTTAGGTTGGGCATGTTCTGGAAAGCACTGTCTCCCACCCCAAGAGTATGTAGAGGTGAAACCCTACAACAATAATCAATTTCAGGACATACAGATAAGGAACAAATTTGCAGGTATAAACATTTTTTCTAAGTGCTAGCAATCACAAAAGCATGAGATATTGTGCTGTTACCTGAAGCTAGGTCCTAACATGGTGAGGCTAAGACTCTTCAAGGAACTGGAAACATACCTCTGTTTTGGGCCTTTGAGGAAAGATTTCAAACAAGACACACAGAGTAGTGGTGGTGAACCTATGGTACGCTTCAGTGGGCTCTGTATATCACTGAAAATCTCTAACAGATTTGCCATCATTGGTATAGAGTACATAAACAGTTCACTGCAAATAATTGATTTTTTTTTTTTTCAGAGAAAAGGAGGGAGGGAGAAAGGGAGAGGATTCATGATTTCTTGGATCTTTCAAGGAATATCTTTTCCTTCTTACAAGGTTATTGTTCTTATCCAAATAATACAGGTTGTGTTGACCTACTTCACAGAGAAGTAGATCCCTATGTACTCCTTAGAGGACGTCTTTATTTAGTTTATTTTGAGATCTTGAGGGTTTTCAACCTCTCCTCTCTGGTCTGGACCTCACTGGCACACTTAGAGGATGTTACTTTCTCTTGCATTAAAGCTTAAAACTGCAAGCTTGTGTGGATTTTTCCCATCACTGTTGATTAAGAAAGTGAAGGGAAGCCGGGCATGGTGAGGCATGCTGAAAATCCCAGCACTTGCGAGGCTGAGACAGAAGGAGGGTACCACGGAGTTTGAAGCCAGAGTTCAAGGCCACGAATGAGCAAAACCAAACAATTGAACGAAAAAAAGAAAATGTCCCATCGTTTTTTTGTTTTTCAATAGGCTCCCCCCACCCCCAACCCGGATTTCCAACCTGCAATGACTAACTTTCTTCCTAATACTGCTGTCAGTTTGGTTGGGCAGACACAACTGAATAAGTAATCGTAATGCAGGTATGAGCAGTCAACTGCCAGGAATTCTCTGGTTCTGCTTTCTTCTGTGTCGTCTGCCTGGTTAGCGATCACTGAGTTCAGCCACATCGGAGGTGTCAGGTATGGGAGAGATGACTAAGGGATTCCCGGCCAGCAGCCCGCACTAGGTGTTTCTGCACTACCAGCCATTATTTTCAACAGTACAGGAAGAAGCTTTTCCAACTCTGGGCAATCAGAAGACACGTGAACTAGTATTTTTAAGTTTTCAACGTTTATAACGTTGTGCTTACATGTACAATAAAGTTGAATCCTCCCGGGAGACAGTGAGGTTTTTAACGGGGGATCGATCGTTTATTCTCCATAATGCTCTAAAACGAGATATTAAAGCCCACGGTAAGCGCATCACAAGTCTTCATTTCGGCGTAGGGTTCCAGCCCGCTGGGACTGGACTACATTTCCCAGGATGCCCAGAAACGGAGGGTTCGCTCCGCCAGGATTGGCCAGAGACGCGCGGAAGTGACTTCGGGTCGCCTAGCAACGGGCGGAGTCCTGCATCTGGACTGGATGCGCACGCCTCTTCCCGAGGCCCGGCGGGTGCGGAGCTCCGCTCCGTCTTTTCTGTCCCGCCGGGCCGTGGCGCCGTCTCCGGAGCGCCGGCCCCGCCGCTCACCCGAGGCTCCGCCCCTTTTGCGCCGGCAGATGGGAAAACCTGGAGACTGGATGTCCGCGGCGGAGTCGGCGGCGGGCCGGGCGGCGCAGTGCGCAGGCGCGAGCGTCGGCGGGCGCGCGGCGCTCGGTTGAAGCGGCCGAGAGTTCCTGGCTGAGGAGACCCGGCGGCGGCGGCGGCGGCAGTGGCGCCTCTTCCCCTCGCCCTTCTCCGCCATGGCAGCGCTGCGCTACGCCGGCCTGGACGACACCGACAGCGAGGACGAGCTGCCCCCGGGCTGGGAGGAGAGAACCACCAAGGACGGCTGGGTGTACTACGCCAAGTAAGGGGCCGCGCGGGGCCTGGGCGCACCTCCCCGGGACGCAGCCGCCTTGCGGGCTCGCGCCGGGCCGGCGAGGGCGCTGCCAG